AACAGGTCCCCCCCCCCCCCCCCCACAGTGCACCGATACAAGACAGAGGGAGGGAGGGGAGGTTCATGCAGCCCTGGGGTTAATGTGAACTGCCACTTCCACCGGAGGAGGTGGGGGAGAGGGAGAGGACAGAGACAAGACACCATCGCAGCAGCCAAACAGGACTGCCTAGAGGCCAAGAGCAGCATGTGGGGGTGGGCGGGGGTGGCAGGGGAGCAACGTGCTCATTAGTGTTCCACTTCCGCTGGTCAGCTAACAGGAGGCAGAGGCCGTCACCGTCTTGCGCTAACCAGCGGGAAAAGATTTTTAGGTCAAACTCTGCATCCGTGCTCGGGATAGCGGACGCGCGTCGTCTGGTCACTGATGAACGGTGACAAGCCGCATGAACGGGACATGCGGTGCGGTGCCGAGCCAGGCCGTACCAAAGCAGGGCGCCGACAAAGCTTTCAACGGCTTCTCGCCACGCAGAGATCCAGAGCAAAGTCAGGGTAAATGAAAGAGAGGGGAACGAGAGAGAGAGCTGCCTTCCCTCACGGACCAAAGGAGATCACCCTTCTTCCTGCTTAGCAGCTAGCCCAGTCGCTGCTTAATGCCCTGAAGAACAAGGGGTATATCCCAGCTGGGGAGGAGAAGAGGAACGCAGGGTCACTAACCCGATTCAGCGGTAGTGCTAGTAGTGACTTACCGCAGGGAGAATAGTGATAGAGATGCAGCCATGTTAGTCTGCAGGGAGGTAGCACCGGAGCAGGGGCGCTCGCTGCGGTGGGTGTAAACACAAGCCATCCCTTACAGGCAGGGTGGCGAAGAGGAAGAGGGGAGGGGTGAGCTTAAAGTACCACCACCAAGGGAGCACCCCATCCCAGGCACTATTGTGAAAATCCAAGTGAAAAGGAGCGTTGGCTCCTAGTCCAGGAACACAATAAACTGCCTCAGGAGTTAAGTACTTCAAAGCCCCTAGACACCAGCACAATCTGCTCTGTGTTCCTAATGCTTCTGAGAAACCCCACCTCCCGCAGTTAAAAAACAAACACCACAGCTAAACGGCCTGAGGGATTTTGCACAATCCCCCCCCTCCCCTGAACCCCAACCCACCTGCCTCCTCCCCCACTCAGCCTCTGCAACTTTGCTCCGCAGAAAGCCCACGCGCCTCACATCTAGGCGGGACAGAGCCAGAGATGGAGCGCGGCGAGGATCTAGGCTGAAACACACCCAGGCAGAACGGCTTCCCATCCACAATGCTGTCTGATGCTCTCAGGTGCTGCTCCCCTAGAGCGCTTGCCGCACTGAGGCCCTGCTTACACAGCGTCTGACAGGGTGCGACTGGCAGCCTGCCGGGGCGGCGCACACAAGAGATTCTCTCGTCGTGCAGTTTCCTGCTTGTGGCCTCTGTAACGTCCAGGCGACACAGCTCCTAGGGACCAGGGCTCTAATGGGTCACTCATCGGCTGGAGTTTCTCTGTGGCCACAATAAAGTGCTGGAGGAAAAAAAAAGTTGGCACAAAACGCCTGGGGAGGTTGGGGAGAGGCTCAGGGTGGTTGTGAAGCTGTACTCCGGAGCCCTGGAAGAGCCCATGGGTTTCTAGAGTACCCAGGGGAGGGAAGAAACGTGCCCTCTTAAAACTGGAGGACCTTGGCACCTGGACACCATCTTAGCCAGCAGCAAACAAAGGCCCTGCCTCCCAACCGGGGGCCACCAGGCACCACTGCAGGCCGCCTGGAGCCCGACGGGGAACTGCACACTAAGAGGAGAGGGAGCCAGGGTGCGCCCTCACGCTTTTCACCAGGACAAACGCGTCTGAAGAGGAGAGGGGAAGAGTGGCCGCGACTCTGAGGAAAACCCAAAGGGGCGGTACGGCCGGGCAGGGCACGGTGTCACGGTCCCGAGGCATGGGTGGCGTTGGAGACTGGGGACGTGGCCAGTGCCCAGAGGGACTCGTAGGTCCCCACCACGAAGCCCGCGAAGCCCAGGATGCTGATCAGGAGGTCTTTGGCCACGGTGACGGGGTGGATGCCTTCGGAGGAATAGGTGGCGATCTCCAGCAGGGGCGGGATGATGAGGGCCAGCGCGCTGCTGCTCACGGAGCCCACCAGCGAGATGACGATGTCCAGGCGGGGGATCAGGATCGCCAGCAGGCCTGGGGGGGAGGGAGAGAAGCACAGGGCGGTTAGTGCTGGCACCGGGACCGCTGCCCTCTGAGTGCAGGGGGACGACACAGGCCGTCTCACTGCAAGGCCAATGAGGCAGCTGGGCTCTGTGTGCAGCCCCACAGGGGAATCGCTCTGCCCCCCCGCCCACCAATCACAGCAAACTTTGCTGGAAGGCAGAAGCTGGGGTGTCTTCTCCCCTCCCTGCCCCGTTCTGGGCCAGCGCACAGCGTGGGTAGAGCCCAACCCCATCCCGCCACAGCCTCTCCCGCCCCGGAGGTGGCACAGGCCACGGCTCTCTGGGCTTTACGCCCAGCTCTGTCAAACGACTCGCTGTACCGTGGGCACGTGAGTCTCTGGGCTGCCTCCGGGGACAGTACGGCTAGGTCTACACGCGTGGCTTCTTGCGCGAGAAATATGCAAATGAGGCTAAGCGTGGAATATCACCGAGCCTCATTTGCATACCTAATGAGCCGCCATTTTTGCAGAAGAGGCTCTTGCACCAGAAGGAGCTGTCTACACGGCCCCTTCTTGCGCAACAAAAACCCTCTTGCGCAATGCCGTTATTCCTGAAAATAATCAGCGTAGCGGCATTGCACAATCAGGCCAATCAGGGTCTGTGGGAGGGGAACACAGAAGTGTCCTGACCTCGCCCCTTCCGCCCAAGGGCACACCCCTTCCAGGATGGCCTGGGGCCACTTAAAAAATTTCTGAAGTCCCTCATATGGCCCCGCCCCTTCCAGGGCAGCACAGGGCCACTTCAAAAATTAGTGAAGAGCCCCTCCCCCCGCGTCTAAAATGATTGCCCACCCTGCCGTAAAGTCTGGGGGTACGAGGGAGCGATTTGGAGCGTGCAGGAGATCAAGTTACCGAACTGCTGCTAGAAAACGGTGGAACAAGCCAGCTGTCATGGGGCAGATGGGCCAAGGGGAAGGGACGGTCTCACAGTGATGCTCCGACTCAGAGCCTGCAGCGCCCCAAAGGAGAAGAGGCGGTCGCGGTGATGGAAGGCTTGGAGGACCGTAGTCAAACTAGAAGGATCCTGGTGGAGGGAAGTGAGGACCCCTCCGGTCACCCTCTCCCCCCAACAAGATGGCACAAAAACGAGCCACGCAGGGCTGGCGGTGCACACAGCGCCTGGCTGCTCGGCCCTGGGCGTGGGTCATACAGCCTTCGGCGCTCCCCGAGAGAGACGTCGCACGGAACAAAGCGCCACAGCGCGGCCAAGACAACCGCACGGCAGCTGCCCCATCCGTGCGGTGGGATCAGTCAGCCGTCTCCCCCGGGGAGGTTCAGCCCCGCACAGGGGAGCGCTGAGGCGCCGCAGCTGCCAGCAGCAGGTTGGGAGCAAGCGGAGGCGAGAAGCAACGAGGAGAAGTCAGCGGGAGGAATGGGCAGCTCACCCCCCAGCAGCCAAGCCCTCCGGCGATAGGGGAAAACATCCAGCACTTTGCAGCATGTGTCTGAGGATGATTAAGATGGGGGGGGGGGAGAGGAGAGGCCAGTTGGGGGGTGTCTGGAATGAAACATTAAATAGCACCATTGTTCTAAGGGAAACACAAGGAAAGGCCCAAGTGGGGCAGTGACCACAGATCGATATGGAGGGTTTGAAGACCCCTTCGACCTTTCTGGGCAGCCAGAACTGGCTTCCTCTCGGCTGGCGGATCTCTGGGGCGCAAAGAGGAGAGTGAGTCATTCGAAGGAAGGAAAAGAAGATCCCATGACAGCTGTGATTCTGCTCCAAGTACAAGGCGAGGGAGATCCCAGGGGCTCCCAAGGACCGTGCCAGCAAAGGGAGTAGGATGGATGCAAGTGGGTGGGAGCTGCTGAATCCAGTCCAGCTGAACCACCAACCAGGGCTTTCACCCGCACAGGGGATTTGGGGGCCACACCCCTGCGCTGCCGTGACATTCCCACGGAGGCCAGGCAAACTCCCCCCAACTGGGTCGCTCCTTTTGATCCCACCCTCTCCCCCGTGGCGACTTATTCAACAGAGCGGGAGGACATTTCTCATCAGCTTCTTCCCGCAGGGCAGGGGAGGGAACGTCACCCACAGCTCACTTCAGGCCGCGCTGCCATCCTGCAACAGGGCCTGGGTGGGGATGTGCGTTCTTGCCGAGATCAAACGGGAAAAAGCCCCCCGAAAAGGGGCGAGGAAAAGCAGCATTGCAATCTCTAGTGAAGGGCGTCTCAGACCGCAGCAGAACTGAGCTGAGGCCGCAGGCGGAAAGAGCCACTTCCTTTCTGCAGCTGAGGTACTGGTGCGCTCGTTCTTTTCACCGAGCCCACCGACTGGCGGGGGGGAAACGGCCCAGGGCCCAGCAATTCTCAAGGGCCGTATCTCAGCTTTGAATAGTGACCAATGCTCTGCTCAAGCGACTGGTGCAAGCTCGCCCGCATTTTTAATAAGCTCGCCGTTCAGACCAACGCAGGAGGAATTATTTTGTGGAAACAGCCAGAGACGCTTGGGGCAGCTTGCAAGTCACGAGAGGTAGACTGCGCCGTCTTTTTAGCTTCTCAATACGATGGATTACGTGAGCCAATTAGAACAGATTTGCATGGTGGCGAACTGCATGGAAGGGGCTCTAGTCGCCAGCATTCAGACGCATTTGCCTGCCCATTAGCTGAAGCTGCTCACTCATTCTCCTCACCCCAAGGGCCTGCCTGCCCATAAAAGGGACTTCAAGGAATAAAACTCACTAGGATTTCCAGCAGGATACAGAGCGAGTCTCTTGAAAGCTGGCAGCTGGTAAGACTTGCGAACGCTCAGGGCTCGTTTACACCACGGTTGTGCCTACACTTGCACTTGTCAGTCGAGGGGTGAAATAAACCCAACTGACTAATTTCATTGACAAAAGTGCTGGTGTGGCCAGCACTAGATCAGCAGGAGAGGCTCTCCTGGGCATGGTACAATGACGCTGCTGGGATAAAGGGCCTTACACAGGAGACCTTCCAGTGGGCGCCACTGCCGGAGTACAGCCCTGCCGCTGTAAGGCCCACAGTGTAGACCCGTGGTACCACACCC